TTTATTTTTGTAACACTGACACAACCTAAAATATATTAATTATAAATTCGTTCGACTTTTGTGAAAAGCCCGGTACAATTTGCTCGTATTAATTGCTGAAACTTTCAAAGCGATCAGTCACTCGCTGTAACTGTGGCTGGCAGTTAAACTTTTTAGGAGGTGAGGTCACTTGACGTGACCTGGTGACGTGACCTTGAGTGACCGTAGTTCGAAATTTTCACAGCATGTGCAGTATAGATGTATGACGAGATGTGCCAAAAAACTGGAAGGGTGCTCAAAGACCCTTTCCCCCAGCAGGGTCAGATTGAAAGGTATTGGCCGGAGAGGCGCATCAACTGGCTCAAGCGGTGTTTCCTTTGTGCTTGGGATTTATCATAACACATATTACTATTGTGCAAGTGATTTGTGGAATCTTTCCACCTCTAGAACGGCTTTCAATAGGATTAAAATATGTATTTGTGTAGCAAGCAGTAGGTACGTAAATATTGTAATTAAACAATTGCAGATAAAGCGAACACTTAATGGCGGCAAATCATACAAATGACTCTTATTTTAGCGTTTTTTTTTTTCTGGTAAAGGTAATGTTCGTCCAACAGAAGTATAGTGACGCAAGTGACCGGCGGCGGGGGGTATAGTCGCCGTCCGAGCCAAATTGAAAGAAACAGTGTGATGCTCAATGCCTACCTCGGTCCTCATGCTGCAAACACGTTATTGTTTGTTTGTTTGCCGTTTTGTTATGGTAATGGACAACAAATACGACGGATATTTAAGTTATGTTATTGTAAAAATATACATATACCAAGACACTTCTTCAACAAAACAATCCAAATACAGAACATCAGGCCGTCCGTTTAACCCTCGCCGGACGAGGGGGGGGCGGGTGCCGCACCCCCCCATAGGTTTTTTTCGCGATAGCTCCGAACACGCCGGCGATAGAGAGCTAAAACTTAGCATACCTGACCTTCGATTCAAGCCGGATCTTCTGACACCAACCGCATTTTCGGGTCAGGTCAGGTCACTGACCTATGACGTCATAAGTGAACATCTGCACGGTCAATTCAGATGTCTCAACTTCGCAATGCCCTCACTGCCACAGGAGCTTTCACAGAGAGATGAAACTTTAAGGACCTAGTATCCATTAGGAGTCTCACAACTTGTATGCCTATCTCGGATTTTTTCTAAAGGTCATATGAGGTCAGGTCATTTTCGTGACCTCACCATTTTAAGTCAAGGGGAAAATGAAAACTGCTATTTTGGCGCCGGGAACGATATCAAACTATCTCAACCACACGGAATCGTGATTTCATGCAATCCTTGCAAGTTTCAATGCTTCACTTTTGCATTGTTGACTTTGGGTGACGTCATTTATGACGTCACTAGGGTCATAAGATTTTTTCGTCAATAACTCTTGATCAAATTGAGCTAGCGAGTCGGGAAAGCCACCAATGGACTCGGAAAGACCTGCCGAATCGAATGATATGCGACATGACCTCCTTCGACCAAGTTCGCGACCTGGGGGCTCTGACCTGACCGTGACCCGAGGTTAACACCTAAAGTTGACCTCACCCAAACAAAAAGTATACCATTCGAAGTGCCTGAGCAAGGCGAACACGATGCTGTCAAAATCGCGGCTCTGCGATCATTTTTTTTTACGAAGTAATTTGCCACAAACCGAACCCGTAACTTGGGCCACTTGACCTGACCTCAAAGGTCACCGGTTGACCTGAGACCTTAAACTCGGGTACCAATCGCTGCGTCTCGCAACGGGGCACACGCTCGTTTTTTCCGCGACGCTCTAACTCCGTTAGGGGCGAAACGGCGAGGGGTGTCGTACCCCCCTCGGCCGGCGCGTATGTAGAAAACCAATAGGTCCGGCGAGGATTAAGTCCGCTCCCCTGGCATTGCAACAGCAGCTGATGTTTCACAACGCATGAGCGCTGCTACAGGCCGCGGCCGCCGCCCTAACCAGCCACGTATGCCGCTAACGGCCTAGAATGAATATATTAATTGCGCCGTCTGTTGGACTACAGGGTGTCTCAAAAGTTCGTTTACACATTTCCCATGTCAATAAAGCATATAAGAACCGGCCAAAAATCTAAGGTTTTGGTGTCCGTGTGTACACTAGACAAATATGCATGCTTTGACAACTGATTCGGAAGGTTGGAAACCAAACCCTTTGCTGTATCTCCAAAAATATTTGCCCATACCGATTTTCGTCACTCCGTCAGCTGCCGGAGGCTGATAAAAGGTTACCAGCTTTCAAGCTCTTGTAGGGGAATCCCCCGCAGTTTCTGCGTCGGATTTAGGTTTGACGAGCTCCCCGGCAACATCCGCTTCTCCCTGAAAGCCGATAGCTTGCATCGACACCATCCGTGAGTATTTTGTAGGTCTTCTCTGGCGCTAACTCCTTCATGAATGACTGGCGCCGACCTCCCAAGCACCATTTTCCTTTTCAAAACAACCCCATTCCTGAACAAATGGGAAGTGCCAGGGGCAAATTTTTCGCAGCATATCGTAGCAGAATGTGTCGGCCATCTGTTTCTTAGACATATTTTGCAAAATTTGCAAATCCCGAACGCTCGTCATTCCCAATGCCAAGACCTTCGCTGGGTTCCGGAGTGTTTTCCTTAGGAGAGGTTCTGCTTTGTAAACGGCCAAAACCTGTCCATCGTGCGGTTTTGTCCGGATTTTGTGTGTAAAAGAAAGCTATTTGCACCAGATCTGCCTCTTGAAACTTCGTTAGATAAAACTTTACATTAATTGACACTTTTGGAGGGTCACTTGTCCTCGGCATTGACGATTTTCGCATTATTTTCCCTCAAAATTTACCGTTATAGATATTACAAACAATTTTAAATGATATTTTGTCTTTATTTTATGATGACCTGCAATTTTTGAAACTGGGTAACCTCTGTCTGTGAGCTTCTAGTCAGTTTTCAATAGTTAGGACTGCATTTTCAGCTGCTTTCCGGAGTACGAGTCTGCTGCGGTACAAGGGTCGTTCAAAGCGCTGTTAGTCTCCATGGTTTTGTCCTTCAAAAATTTTAGCCACCGTTTTTAGTAGATGACCATCATGTTGTACTCATCCTCGCCGACACGTTGCCATGTGTCATTTCCGACCTAACCATTCCCATTACTCGTGAAGCAGAGAGTTTCTCAGCCGACCCGAGTATGCGACCTCCATTTTCGTGCCTGATCCATGGTCAGAGGTGAACCCTTTTTGTGAGCTCATGAAGGGTCGAATGCGCTTGAAAACAATGAAGCTGCTTGAGGAAGGTTGTTACCAATGCCCATGCAAAATTTCGACTGTTAATTTCATGTTGATTCAGAATTATTGACAAAAAAGCATGGCTGGTACCTGTAAGCGAACTTTTGAGACACCCTGTACTTCAATGGGCAGAGATATCCATTCAAATAATTAATTCAAAACTGAACTACTGGATGGAAAGTAATTACGCAAACATATTTTTTCGTCCTGTAGCAATGAAAAATAGCGGTGCCTTGATTTTTTTTTGTTATTGAATTTCGTCACCGGCAGCACGCTCGTTTTTTTCCGCGAAGCTCTAGCTCGATCATGGGCGAAACGGCATGGGAGGGGGGGTCCAACGGACCCCCCCCCCCCTTATACGTTCGCGGCTGGAAAAACACCAGTACGGGCGAGGGTTAACCCTCGCATGTGTAGGGGGGGGGGGGTCGGATGGACCCCCCCATGGTTTTTCGCAAATAACTCGCGTAAAAAGCCGCCGATCGCGACGAAACTTTCAGTACCCTCGCATTGATCAATTTTACACCTACCCTGAAAATTTCATGACCCTGACCCAAATGACCTTTGACCTGTGACCTCTTTTCCGAGACCATGTTTGGCCGGAATCGCGATTTCGCGTATGTCGGCTCGCACTAGCCGCGTGTTTGCAAGCTTTTCGTGGTTTCAAACGTTCAAACATGTGATTTGATGTTACTCCCGTGTGTGTCAAGGTCACCTGAAGGTCAGGTCAGGTCATTGACCTTTGGTGACCTTTGGTGACCTCGGGTCACTTTTTCGAGTTTTACATGTTTCTAGGCTAGTTTTTGGAGCTGAATTCGAATTTAGCAACCATTTGAACATTTACGAAGTAGTTTTGGTGACTTCGTAACATGTTACGAAGCTGTCAGAGGCGGTTGACACGTACTACGAATACCCGTCACGACGCCTACTGGTTGACCTGGCCTGACCTGACCCGACCTGGTCTAAATGCGTCAAGACATCATCTGTGATCAAAACTAACACGATATTCGCGATCAGCACCCCGAAAAACCCCTTAGCAGCCACACTTTACGACTTTCTAACAGGTCCCGATTTTCCCGACTTTGGGTCATTGACCTGACCTGGAAGGTCAACCAATTACCTAGGACCTTAAAATTGGGTATCATCGGCTTCCTCTCGTCACGGGCAACACGCTCGTTTTTTTCCGCGAAGCTCTAGCTCGATCAGGGGCCAAACGGCAAGGGGGGGTCCAACCGACCCCCCCCCCCACACATTAGAAGCTGGCAAACGCCGCACACATGCGAGGGTTAATTATGCTTCAAGCAAACGTATAACTGAGTATAGTTGGTACTGAGACCGTTGTCAATCCTTTCCGCTCCAGTCCAGCTAAAATCATCACAAACGCTTTCACTGGCAACTCCAAATTGTGCTCTTTGTCCAGTTTTGTCTTGTGCAGCGTATGGCGTCTGCACCAATCGAAGTCAAGACGTGTTTAGACATTCCAGGTCATCGTCCAAAGTCAGGTCACTTGTGATAGATGAGGCAACAACAAACACGACCAATGATGTTCCATGACAGCCCGAGTTCGTACAAAATCTCCACTGACGGCCGAAATTGTAAGAAAATACGTGTTCGCGTAATTACTTTCCACCCTGTACGTATGGGAGCTACAGGCCTCACCAAGAGAATTCACGTCCTGAAATCCTTTAAAGTCAAAGTCAAAGTACATTGTAAATTGTAATCAGCTACATCTTACCAGTGTGGCAATGCATTGATATACCTATACCTAATCAGCCATAAAAAGTACGCAATTAAATCCATTTTTCAGGTCAGTTAAAAAAGTCTAGTCTTCATTAGCACTCCGACAGAGTTACCAGTTACCACACAGCTCCTCTTTCGACGCTCCGGTTCAGACTTGAGACTTCTTTGCAGTTAAGAAGACACCTACTTCAGTATTTCAGTGACAAATAAGCTAATTACTAATTAGCCAACAAGAGACAAATCATGTACATCGCTCATCATGTTAACACTTGTGTAATGCATACACTTTACACACGCCAAACCCAGCGCTATTGCTGCGTAATGAGGAAAACAGCCAAAAGAACACTCGACAGTCGACACCAATCCGCTGCCACCAACGGGATGACATATGGTATAGATCGCCTTGGCCACAACACAATTCTACGTCATCTTCATATCACTGTCCGCTACTTCTCCGTGTCCTTGCCCTCAAAACGCATTGCTAGTTTCCCGATCAGTTCCTTGAACGCGATTGGGTCCATGTTCTTTCCCATCTGGTACAGCACAAACCAGTCGCCGATCTGGCATTTGCGCGCAACGATAGCAACGTCATGGTGCGAAGCCAGTCTGGCGCGCACCACAAGCAGCTGGAGCCTCAGCTGCGGGTAGAACACCTGAGCGATTCGATACAGCAGCACCATACCCGTTAACGCCGACAGCACTATGAACCAGAACCACAGCATTATGTAGATCTTCTCGTTGATGATGTTGAGGGGAAGCACACAAAGTCCGTCGATGCGCTGCACGGTGCCGGAGGCCCCGTACTTGTGGAACGTGCACTTGGTCATCTTGGGGAACACGAGCGCCATCGGGTCGGGCCGGTCCTCCTGATCCATGTTGGCGAACTGGACCACGCGCCAGCCGTACGTCGTGAACTCGTAGCCCAGAAACAGGTCCGTGAAGAAGATCTGCGCAATGACGTTCAAGAAGTTGAGAACTTCGCAACAGAAGAATCGCACAGCGTAAAAGTTGTGATGATGCAGGTTAAGCGAGAAGTAGTTGGTGATGAGTTTTTGCCTGTCCCGGCGCGCCTCTTCCTTCGTCACGGGGGACTGCATGTCCATCACCAGCATCTGGCACTTCTGGCCCTCCCACACCTGCCACAGGTAGTGCGGCACGTAGAAGAGCATCGCCTGGAAGAAGAGCGTGAATGCCACCCACTGGTAGTACAAGTGGTGCTTAAACTTGTCGCCTTCCTGTGGCGTCACCACGCCTGGGTACGGGAACTGCTCGCCGATTTTCCCCGTTCGGTTCGGCGGCACCTGCACGGTGAATGTCGAGTGAATCCAGCAGTAGGTGTCCATCGCCTTGCCCTTCTCCTTGTCCTTGACGCCGTCGAAAATGCAGTCGATTGGGTCACCGAGGTACTGCTTGGACGTGACCAGAAGGCAGCATACGAGCAGAAGTGCTGTGGTCCCTTTGTAGTGCAGGCGAAACACATTGTTGTCGATGCACACAGCTTCGGGCTTCAGCACACCCTTCACGGATTTAAGGATGTCGAGCATGATGTCGGTCTGATGGAGTGGTCCGAATTACCAGCGGTCGACTAATTCTGGCGGCGCAGGTTGGTGGTTCGGCCGCAGCACTGCGGAGCGTGGCGACCTGCCCAGAGGACCGCCCGACACTGCACTGGTCCGAGCGCGAGTAACAGGAGCGCGGCACAGCCGGCAGAGCTGGGCCTCTATGGGCCTCTATGGCATTCAACACACCAGGCAGACGTTCTGCCAGGTATGACATCACGCTTCCGGGGCCTTTGATAAGATTCATAGTTATTCAATATTTATTTATTCATTCATTCAGGCAAAACATCCAATCATGAACGCCTCTAAACACATTCGGAGAGATTAGCTGGCCCGGGACGTGTAACTCTATATAAAAATACATTTCATGTTATTGTCGGTAACTCTGGACAGTGCTGCCAAATCCTATTTACGGTGTCGGCAAGATTGGGTCCACGTCAGCAATTGGGTGACATCGCACAATTCAGATAGCGGAATATTTTGTTTAACACTCTGACAATTATATATTCTACCGAGCGGTAAAATGCGACATTCGGTTACCATTGATGCAAACCGCTTATATATAAAAACGACAATAAACCACACACCTGTGCACATGCACATGCACATGCTAACTCTAGTACGATGGCAAGTCACTAATGTACATTGTTGCATCTCCCATTGCATCCCCGCAAGAAAGAAGTACTCGACTAATCAACGACGTAGTGAGATCTCGGATTTTAAAAGTTTTTGGATTTTGACTTCTAAAAATAAAAAGTATTTTTTTTTACATGAGCCAAATATCTAAAAAGTTTTTCGACTTTCGAAACAACGGAATATATATGATAGTCCCTACCATCTTCTGTATTTATACCAAATTTAAGATCGATACCTCTAATTTGGCCAAGTTATAGCGAAAACAACTGTTGAAAATTGATGATATCAAATTTTCAAACTCAATTTGTAGCAATTCCAGACCATATGTCGCAAAACAAAGGCCACCATTTAACTCTCCGTGACGTGCTGCATCAAATCGATACCCATTTTATGCAAAATATCAACTTTGAAATTTGACCTAATTTGACCGAACCTTGACATGACCTTCACCAGAACGTAACCTAACTGGCCTCAAAGGTTGCCTAACCCACAATATCGCATTTGTCATGTAAAATGGACCATAAAACATGTATCACACGACACTTTCATATTGTAGCCCTCAGCGACCTGACCTCTGTGACCTGACCTGGTAGCAGTGACCTCAAATAGCAAAATATGTGACTGACGAACAATTTTCCATCGATCGTTTTCAATAACATGCTTTTTACTCAATTGTACAACACATTTCTTGGAATGCCAGTAAACAGTGAAAATGCGACCTTTGACCTGAACTGTGAGGTCATCGGTTGGGCCTAGGTCAATGAAACTGTGTCTGAAGGTCATTAGCGTCGCCACGGGGGGGGGGGGGCAAGCGGGGCAGCTTGCCCCCCCCAACCTCGGACCGGGCACCCCCTGAGATCGATACAGATCCGATGAGATTTTGGAGTCGGGAAAAAATGGGGGTACCTTCTGAGAATGCCTGTGAGGTCAGACTCGGTTGGAACGTGCAGTTCAAACCAGAGTCTGACTCGCAGTCGCCAAAATCTTCAAGACTCCGAGTCCAGACTCGGAAATGCCAATGCTGTTGTCAATTCATTCCATGTTCCTAGTTCGTTCTTTATTACATTTTACAGCTGATTTTCATAAGTTTAGGAGTGCTGACATAATTTTCGTTCAAAGCGTGAAACGAAATCTTCGGGGCCTTTCTCAACTCTCGTCAAATGTCTGCGACAGGCTCAAGTAGGTACCGTACAAGTGTCGCAGGGCTCATGAGCTTGCTTTAAACAAAGGCTCCTAAGGAGCTCCACCGAGCCCTAAAGAAGCTTTCAGAGGGCCCAAACCAGCCTCTGAAAGTTCCACTGGTGTCCATGTTCTCTGAGGGCCCAAGCCCATACAGGGATCTCTGAGCCTTAACTGGCCTCTGATAGTTCAGCCAAACTTTTGAGACGACATGGACTTTGCTAACCCCAAGCCGGCATCTGAGGGGTCACAGCTCGCGTGTCCCTCTGAGGTCCGCAACACATGTTTATTATGTCCCTATACGTAAGGTCCTTAGGGATTCGACACAGACCCCGAGGGTTCACACTGTTATCCGAGGGCTCCAGGCTCACCCTGGGCCTAGTCTCTTAGCCAGGGTTGTATACGACTCAATCAATAGCAATCAATTCAATCACGACAAATTTGGGAAACCAATCAAATCAATCAAGTCAGAGCAGTTTTCGGGAATTGATTCAATCGACTCAAACGCGACAATGAAAGGAATCAATCAACTCAATCAAACGACTCAAACCAAGACATACATTAGGTTTTTTGCCCCACCAACTTGGAAAAGTGTCCATAGCAGTCTGGTGTACCTACCAACCTACCTACCTACAGAAGAAACATAAAAATATTGTCATTTAAAATTATAAATTGCCATACCATTCAAAGTTTCTATGTAATAAGGAAGGATACCTAGCGATGGACAGGTGGATCATGATATTGAGGTTCAATGGGTAGAATTGGAGCAGAAGTTTCATTTAATGGGTGCAAAATAACCCAGTAGTTGACTCGCCCCTTAACCCAAATCACCACCTTTCACCTAAAAGTTGTCAATTTAATTTTGGCCATATTCCAACTCCATTTACACTAAATATCAGATATTGCAGTTGAAAGTTGGCTGCTCGGAATTTGGCAGTGTTCGTGATTTGGCCATTTACCCTACACCATGTCTATTTTAATGGATAATATGCATCAATAACATATTAACCATAGCGAAATAGAAATAAATATATTACCTGCATGTGACGGTTTCGGTTAGACAGAGACTGACGGGCAGCCTGAAAAATCTTTCCACACAATGTGCATTTGATACGTGGGATGGGGCTAAGCTTTTATAAATCCTTATTCTACGTCTTTTGATTTTTTGGTAAGATGACGTCATTGATTATCATTTAGTATATTAGATCATCATAAAATAAATCGGTTGTACAACACCAATTTTGTTTTAATTATTATTTCATTTGAAATAAAACCACTTAATAATATTCGGTAAAATATTTTAAGGAAAATGAAATATATTAAATATGTTATGCTTAGGCTCTCAGGAGAAAAGGATCAACAAACGTTCTGCTGCAATTTAAACAATGCAGCAAATTAGCTATTAATTAGTTACGTAAACGTAATTAGCGAGACAAAAACGGCGCTTTTGTTTCAGTTTTTTGTAGGGGTTTCAGACATTTGTAGAGTTCAGTGGGTTGTTTCTGAGGAGATGTGGAGATGTGAATTATTAATCAATCACACTTTATTAGTACATAGGGCCTTGCACTTTATCATCTGGATTAAAAAAAAAAACGTTTCCTGCTGAGTGCAGAAAGGTAGGTAGGTGCATCGCCAGGTTCTATCACCAGGATTGGAGCAGTTATTGCAGTTGAAAGTCAAAGTTGGCTGTTCATGTTTAGGCCCTGTTCTTTATTTGGCCATCTACCCCATATTGCAGTTGTGATGACAAGCAGTTTTCAGTGTAGTTTTGTGATCTATGATGTCATCAATTATTGTCATTATTTTTCGTCAACTAAAACTTATTTGAACTTTCCATTCAATCGACTCAATCATTTATTTATTTATTTATTTATTTCACATCATAGACCCATTCCACACAAGCGTGGCTATTCTAGGATCAGGGTCACAGTTAAAAAATAAGGATAGTTGGTCACACACATCGTACACGAATTCATTCTCACAAACGCACACCCAATCACACTTCCCGCGAGTGGGTCGTCACTAGCCGGCATCGGTCTGTTGCTGGAGCAAATACCTCCGCAGCTCTCTTTTAAATGGGCTCAGGCCTAGGTCGCGAATCGTTTGTGGTAAGTCATTAAAAGCGGTCACGGCTGAGTATAAAAAGCGTCTCCTACCGGATTCTGATCTAATGGTAGGCACATTCAGCAGCTCGTTCTGTCGCGTGTCGCGCTGATGAACATGTCGTCGAAGCGTGAGGCTGGCGGATAACGTCTCGGGCTGAGAGGTAGACAGAATGCGCTTTAACAATGTCAGCGTGTGAAAAACATGTAAATTGCGCGCCGAAAGCCACTGCAGTTCATGAAGGACGTCACTCACATGATCAAATTTTCGACGCCCGGAGATGACGCGTGCTGCGAAATTCAACACTTTCTGTAGCCGACCAGTTTGTGTGGTGTTACAGGTTCCGTAGACACTAAGACAGTAGCGAATAAGTGATACGACTAGAGATTGGACTAGAGTTGTGAGCGTCGCAGAAGGTAAACTATGACGGCAGTGACTCAAACCGATTAAAATGCCTGTGCAGCGCCGAACCACATCGTCAATGTGCGCGGTAAAAGTCATAAATTGGTCGAATACGACACCCAGGTTCCGCACCATGAGAGAACCGGAGACAGTCGTGCCCATGAACTTGATAGAAATGGTTGGTACCTGTCGAAGATTTTGTCGAGTGCCGAGAGCTATGAGCTGTGTTTTTTTAGCGTTGATTTTCATGCCATTTTTGCCAAACCAGTGAGCAAGTTGCGAAAGATTACGTTCCATGGAGCTAACAAGGGCACCAATGTCTCCGGGCCTGCCACTCACGAGAACCTGAGTGTCGTCCGCGTACTGCACTATGCACGCGTCATCAGCATACAGCGGCAAGTCGTTGGCGTAGATGCTGTACAACAGCGGACCGAGCGCTGACCCCTGGTAAGTTCCGATCGGGTTCGGCAGAGGCGACGACAGATCACATGAGCCTCGCTGGCTCCTAGCTACTACTTGCTACATGAATCATACGAGTCACTCTAATTTTCGGGAATCAAATCAGTCAACCGGTCGCTAAAGTCAAACGAGTCAGTCAACCAGTCATCTCGAAAAGTCAATCGACTCAATCCAATCAACTCAAAATACGCGTTGAAACAAATCAATCAATTCAATCGACTTGATTGGTATACAACCCTGCTCTTAGCGCACGCCGCCCACACTGGCTTCTGAGGGCCCCATCTTGGGCTCGGAAAGCCCTAAAGCACCACCACCACGTACACGTAAATATTTGAGGTGACC